GTGCTGGCGGCCTGAGAGGAGGGGCGGGGACGCTGGTCACAGGGAAGGGCGGGACATGCTCCCCGTCTGTAGATGGTGTGTCACTAACAGGGATCTGGAACGTGGTGAAACCGGAGGTTCCCAGACGCAGGTGGGGAGGGACGCTTGTGGTGGGACCTGGCTCCGGAGGGAAGTGGGCGGCAGGTGCTGGGTTATTGACAGGCAGCAGCTGCCGTGGGTGTGGCTGACGTCACCCGGGATAGAGTGAGAAGGTGGGCTGAGGACAGACGGGCGGCCGGTCGGCCTCCTTGTCGACCCCTGGAGGCCCGGGGCCGGCCGCAGCAGGGCCCTGTGCCTGACAGTCGTTGCGTTAACGAGGTTTTTGTAAAATCCATAGCCCGCGCTTCTCCATACGCACACCCTGTGCAGCAAGAAGGAAGATGTGACGTTCTTCCGAATGGGGCCTAGGAAGCCAAGATATTTACCACATTAAACACAAAGGCAGCTGTAAACCAGCAAGATTGACACTTAGCGTCAGCACTTTAAAGCTACCCGTGCTGTTGTTGAGACCAAGTCTCCGATGTGAGGTTTGTAGATGGAAGACCAGCCACAGGTTAGATGGTGTTTGCCCTCTGGCTACACTGGGACGTGGCGTAAGTAGAGAAGGCGCTCGCCTGCTCCAACCGCGTGGCGTCGGGCCTGGGGGCTTTGCCCCTTCCCAGCAATCAGGCTCCTCGGGCAGCCCAGGGGGTCTGCGGGCAGCATGTGGATGGGCTGTAACAGCCAGTTGGCCTGCGTCCAGCCAGCCGAGCCCCACATGCCGGCCCGGCCCACCTTCCTCTCCGCTCAGAGCACTTCTGAGCCTGCACTCACACGACCTCCCGCGACCTCCACTGAGCAAGACCCAGAGCAGCTGCCCAGCTGGTGTGCAGCTCCCACTGGAAAGGTGGGCAGTGCAGGCTGGCCCCTGACATTCGGCCGGAATCGGGGGCCTGTGGGGACTGGGAGCCTGAGAACGCCACTGAGTAGCCTCGGGGATTGGCAGGTGTCAGTGGGATGCACAGGTGAGACGTTCAGCAACTTACATGCACACACATGCACACACGCACATGCACACACGTACACATGCAAACACACATGTGCACACGCACACACACTCACGTAGTTTGTAAGGTCGAAGGCACAGCACAGGTTTTCTTTCGTTGTGGTCTCCGTCCGTCTGTTCACTTTGTCTTCCCACCTACCACCCCTTCCCTGCATGTGCCTGTGCCTCCTCCTCCATGAAGGCGACACCTCGTAGAGGGTTTCCCGTGTGCGGGACGCTCCTGCGCCGCCCTCTGATCCACGTAGCAACCGGCAGCGTAGGTGTCCTTGTCCCGCTGAGCAAGCCGGCTCTCTGAGGAGCTGGCAGGCTTGATCAGAGTTAACCTGTGAAGTGGCGAGCCAGGGTGTGCAGCCGCTTCTGCGCGTCTGGATCCCCCTTCGCCTGAGTCTGCATCTCCTGTCCCGGGAACGGTCACAGAGGGGCCTCCAGGCAGCCCCCGAGGCCCAGGAGGAGTTTATCTCCCGGTGACTCCTCCCCGCTGGCCCTCCGACCCCAGGGTTGTCCTGCCACCCCGTCTCCCTGCAGCCTGGCGCCTCCCCCTCCCCGGGACCCGCGGGCCTGTGGCAGGTGCAGGGGGCAGACTGCACTCAGGCCAGTTCTGCCAACATCGGGAGGGGCCCAGGGCAGAGCCAGGAGCCCCCCTGAATTCCTCCTGCCTTCGCCTTCTGTGGTGCTGCCGGGCGGGGGGCGCGGGGGGGCTGCTGAAGGAATCAGCCCCGCTGACCGCCCTGGAAATCCCAGGCTGCTTGCAGGTGCTGCCCTGCACCCCTCCTGCTGGTGCTCAGAGGCGTGCGCTCCCAGGGCTCCTCGCGCAGGTCCCCTGCCTCCGCGTAAGCACAGTCTCTCCTCCCCACACAGGTCTCTTAGCCGGCCTGCTCCCCACTTTCCTCCCCGCTCCCATTAGGATCCGCTCCAGGTACTGGCTCTGACAGCCTC